TGAAGGATTTAGGAGTCTTAAAATACTTTTTGGGGCTTGAAGTTGCAAGATCATCCAAAGGCATTGCTGTCTGTCAACGTAAGTATGCCTTGGAAATCCTTGAAGATGCAGGTTATTTAGGATCAAAGCCTGCAAAATGTCCTATGTTGCAGGGTCTAAAATTGACTAAAGATCAAGGGGAGTTGCTAGATGATCCAGGAATGTACAGGAGGCTAATTGGAAGGCTGTTATACTTGACCATTACAAGACCAGATTTGTCATTCTCAGAGTGCAGGCTCTAAGTCAATATCTTGAATCCCCTAGAAAGCCTCACTTAGATGCCGCACACCATGTGCTCAGATATGTGAAAGGAACACCAGGGCAAGGATTATTCTTTGCAACAGATTCTAATTTTGAGCTCAAAGCTTTTTGTGATGCAGATTGGGCGTCGTGTGCAGATACAAGAAGGTCAGTTACAGGGTTTTGCATATTTCTTGGAGGGTCCTTGATATCTTGGCGATCAAAGAAGCAACATACTATATCAAGGTCATCAGCTGAAGCAGAATACAGGGCCATGGCAGCAGCAGTCTGTGAAATAATTTGGCTTAAGAAAGTGTTGACTGATATGGGGGTTGATCATCCTAAAGCTGCTCTACTATTCTGTGATAATCAGGCGGCAATGCATATAGCTAGCAATCTTGTCTTTCACGAGAGGACGAAACACATAGAACTAGATTGTCATTTGGTGAGAGAAAAGATACAATCTGGTGACATAAAAACCATGTATTTGTCCACAAAGAATCAGCTAGCAGATTTGTTGACTAAAGCTTTAGGGGGAGCCAGATTTCAGATGTTGTTATCCAAGATGGGTGTTTTGAATATTCACCAGCCATCTTGAGGGGGAGTCTTACGGGAATATAGGGTTATTTATGTAATTCACCATGTTAGCTGAGCTGTCATGTTAGCTGAGTTGTCATTTTGGTTAAATGTATATATATACACAATTGTATCATGAACATCAGTTAGTATACACAATTGTATCATGAACATCAGTTAGTGAGAAAATTCTTTCCCCATTCCTGTCTTCTCTCATTTCACTCTCTAATTGCGGTATAAAATTCACAATGTCTGAGCAATAGTACTCTTAAAAACTTTCGCATCACCAGTTTGCACCTGATGAGGATAAAATTATTTTATAAGAAAGCCAAACATAACGGATGTTGTTATTTTCTCTCATTTGATAGGTCAATGCCCTCTAGTACAAATTGTTCTTTTGCCTTATCGTTTCATTTATATTGCTTCAATGTACTAATATTTGAACTTTTTTCTTATTATGTTCAACAGATTTGGAATTATATTTTAGACATAATTTTTTTCTTTTTTAGTTTGCAAGGAGTAAGTGCAAATGCAAAAAGTTCTAGTAGAATCTAATCTTATTATTGAACTGAAATGGTGGTTGATTTGTTAACTTAATGTTGTTTGGTATGATTTCGAGCACTTACATTAATATAACGTGTTTCTTTGTTTGACCATGCTTATGATTTTAATATTGATGTAGGATAAGCCATACCAATAGCTTGAAAATCTCGTAGATATTTAGCCTCTGTTTGGAAGAGATGTTTAGAGAATAGATTTTGTAAAAATTGATATTTTTTTTATAATGTGTGGTTATAAAGTATAAAAAAGTTTTGGATTTACGTACAACATTATTTTACAGAGAGAATGTGTAGTTGAAAATAAGTTTAAAAAAAATTAGTTTTAGAAAATGGAGGCCAACCAAGGCCTTAATAACATATTATAATTCTTTGGTCTCATTGATCTCACTGAAGGTTTTTTTTTTTTTTTTTTTTTTGTATTTTCTAGCATTCTGCAACAGTAATTTATAGTCTCTTGGACATGAGGTATGTTGAACCACGTATTTTTGATTAATTTCTGGAATCATTGTAGTCCAGTGAACTTTAGTTAGTCGATATTTTTGTTAGGAAACTTTTGCAATCGAATGTGAAGGAATCCTTGCCAAATTCACTTTTGTTTGGAATCGAAGCTGAACGGTATTATGAGGGTTATCATGTTCTCCGTGGGTTCCTTATCAACATAGAAGATAGCAATTTTAAGGAAAGTGTCCATCTGTTTCAGTGAAAGAAAATAGTGTATCATATTCCTATGCCATCTCACGGGATGCTCAGCTTTTGATTCTTTTTTATAAAGGTGGGTACGTGACCACGCATAGGCATAACCTCGGGAAAGGTCGATGTTTCTATTGAAATTCTACGGAATAAAGCTTTCAACTTTGCACATTTTGGTGGAATTACTGATGGTGAAATGTGATGTGGATAGATAGCTATCTGCTTATCTAAAGGTAATTCTCCCTTTCAATCATTTGTGATATTTTTTCTTTCTTTCTGTATGGGTTGTTACTGCTTCTCTGATTCCTGTATTGATTACTTTATTCTCTCTGAAAGAAACCATTTAATGAAATGAAATGGACATGATTTTTTGTTTTAACTCAAAACGGCTTTCTATGTGTTTTGAGTTGCAATGTTGGCAGTTTCATCTGGTTATCGTGTTGATCAATCATAGGACTCGATTTGCTTGTTGCTAGACTTATTTATGCTATGGGATTTAGAGCATGTAAGCCTAAGCTTGAAAGAAAGTAGAAGTTACTTTTAAGTAACTTTTTCTGTGAAAACAAACTGGAAAAGTTTACTCTCAAAATAAGTACTTATATTTCCAATTCTGATCAGTCGAATATTATATATTTCAAAGCATACTTCTTTACTTGTAAAACCTTTTAAGCTTAGCCAGTCATGCTCTGTATCGTGTTGATGAAATCTTAGTATTTGATTTGCGCAATTACTAGCCGTATTTATGCTCTGGGAGTCGAGAGGGTTCGCATTTTTGGGGGAATCATTAGTTGGGCAAGTTTAAACTATGAGAACTAGCATATTTGATCAGGTGTATTAGACAATATAAGAAAATATAAGAAAGGGAAAAGATGCTTAAGTCTTTCCATTGGATTGTCCAATTCATTCTTGTTCATTCATTCACATATAGGGTAAATTCCTTCGGGACTTCCAACCTTCCATTGTGGCACCCGTGTTCCCAACCTTCTAACTCTATGCGAGTTTAGGAAAATGTCTATTTAGATGTTAAATCTCCAAATGTACGTGCATGTGATGTGTGATTGAAAAGGTAAAATTGTCCCCACAAAAATAAATAAATAACGGTTTCATTTATTCAAAAATCAAACGTTGATGGTGAATTTACAATAAATGTGGTCTTTTTTGGACAATTTTACTCTTTTAGTCAGGCATCGCATACATGTCGTGTAGCCATTTAGTGTCTAAGGATATCTTGTGCTGAGTGTTAATAAGCTTGAGACGTGGGTAACACAAATGGAAGATGAGAGACTTTGAGAGGAATTTGACCTAAAAAATAGGTGGAACTATTACATGCAAACAATTTCAACTCATGGTATCAGCAAGCTTCTTGTGATATGATATGGAATTTCTTGTCCTTGGCACACATTCGCACCTGCAAGGCACGTGTCTAAAAAGTGGTATCAACTCTCACACACTCTCTCTCTCTAGATAATTATTAAAATGTTTGAGAATTTCTTAAATTAGAACGAGCGATTGAGTTTAGTTATCGTTGATTATCTCCGTCGAGCCATTTCATTCAATACTCAACTTTTATAAATCGAAGCATGATAATGTATTTTTCATAAATATATGACTGATTTTGGGCTCTCTTTTTTTTCACAGAGCCGGAAACGTGAGATAGCTTGAACTTATTAACGTTGTTTGTTCGTTTGAGAAGTCACAAAAAGTCCTTTTGCTGGCAAACGGTATATCATCTTATAAAGGAATCCGAACTATTAAGAAGGACAAGTCAGAGGAATATTCTAGGAATAAGAACCAATATCGTTTGAACAAGTAGAGATCAATTGATTAATTTTTATACATGTTACCTTTCTCAATCTGAATAACCAAAACATCTTGTAATACTTTGAATTTGAGATGTAATGGATTATGGACAATTATTCTCAAATCGCATGATTTCTTGTCTTTTATAAACTTGAGTTCAAATAAAATGACAAAAGTTCATACAATTTTCACCTCTTTTACCGTAGTATAATTAACCTGAAGTCAAGAAAGTAAAATAACAAATGGCGAGCTCATGCCATTGATTCGTATGATTGAGACTTTTTTATTTTTATTTTTTTTATTTGGGTCTTGAAATGGAACGAAATATTACGGCTGGGAAAGGGGATTATTCACCATGTAAGTACGAGGCTGTTGTATTTTACAAGAAACTTGACTGTCTCCATTAGTAATACAAGGAAATACTCTTTTATCGTTTTTATGTAAAAGATGATTGTTTTGAATTAAAAAATAATAATAAAAATAATAATTATAAGACTTAATGACGAGACTGATAATTGATGATGAAGCAAATGACCAATAGGATCTCGAAGTCATTTTTAATTACACATCTTCGCTAAAATAATTTTTCATGTGAATTCATAATTTTTCTCTATTTTTAAATAATATATTCTTCAAAAATCATGTTTTACAAAATTTATTATAAAAAATCTACACCAAATAGATCCTCAATATATTTAAATTAAGTAATAAATTAATTTATAAAAACGAAATAGTTTGACGAATACAACTTGCTTAGGGATTGAAAAGTTTGGCTAAAAATTATACTATTTGTAGATTTTGATAAAAACTGACAAATGTATGATTAAAATGTTTTCAGGATCAAACGGATGAATTAGAGATCTATGGACAAGATTAACAATAAAAATGTTAAACAAACTTTCATTTATTGTCGAATTCTATGTATCAAAAAAGGTACTCACATACATATCCAATTTCATTCTAGCAAAATTTTGAGTTTGTACATTACAGTAACATTATTGATATGGAAATGTGGACCTTCGTGAATCTTTTCACGTGTTCCCATATTCTATATTCACTCCTATATATACCATGCAATCTTGGGCTCATTATTGACAGAAATATTACACGAAAAGGGTCATTTTTTGTTTCTTTTTACTCTTGACTGACAAAATAAAATGGAGAGAAATCACTTGCAACGTCGAGCTGCCTACATGAGGGAAACCCTCTTTGATCAGGTTATTTCTCTCCCATTCAAATTAAGTTGATTACATATCAATTATTTTATTTCTCATACAATTGAATTTTTTTCCCCATGACCCAAGATTAAGCTTAGGCTTCCAATGTATTATATCGAGTAAAAGCAAACCAAAAATGTTTTCACAACTTTCATGGCGACAGGAACATATTTGGAATCTTAGCAAAAGAAACCAAAACGCTTACCCTTTTTCGTTTGCATTCTAAAAGAAATGTAGTTGTGAAATTTGATCTAGTCATTTTCTAAACTCTTCAAGCCACAATACTTATATATTTATTTTTGTTTAGGGTCATTTTAGATAATATCAAAGAAGAAAAAAAGTTATAATCTTGTTCACGATGCAATCTAATTTTGTGAAATATTGCATACCAAAACACAACTTTTGATGTTGTTCTCCGAATTGACCGAATCTTACCCTCAACACATTTATATTCTAAATCTGAGAGATGATTATGTTGTAGGGATATCTTGATGAACAATTTATTCAGTTGGAAGACTTGCAAGATGATGCTAACCCTAATTTTGTGGAAGAGGTTGTCAAACTGTTCTACACTGATTCCGCTCGATTTATCCGCAACATCGAACTGGCACTGTGAGTAGCTTAACAAAATTTAATCAAGAAAGAGCAAAAAGAAGCTAAATAGATTTTATAAACAAGAAGTTCTTATTTTCTTGTTCAGGGATAATAGCACCCATCATGACTTCGAAAAACTGGATGATATTATGCATCAGTTCAAAGGTAGCAGCTCAAGGTAAAAGCCCACTACTTTCTTTCTCGAGTTTGAGGTTGTTACATTGCCGTAGAGCATATTTGGCTGGGCTTTTTGTCTCAAATATGTTTGAATTTTTTCACAAATAAGCTTACTGTAATTACTGAATCTACCTCTTTAAAATGGTATATATTAAAGTAGCTTTTCTTTTTGCCTATTTATCATGTAATCCAGCCCTGCCCTGCCTAGCCATCCCACTCCACCAATCTTCCTGTATATCTATGTGCATTACTTATTGCTGGTGATTATCCAAAGTTCTTAATTTTGTTGTACATCAAAACTGACGGTTTACATCTTGCAGCATTGGTGCAGAGAAAGTAAAGAGAGAATGCACACAATTTCAAGAGTACTGCAAGGCAGGGAACTTGGAAGGGTATATATTTGTCTCCTATATCCTCCCTATGTCTTTATGCCATTTTATGTTTATACAACTGTTTTTGCGATCGACATTCAAGTCAAGTTCTTGCATGCTATTCCAGATGCAAAAGGACATTCCAGCAAGTCAAACAAGAGAATGCAACTCTCAAGAGGAAACTCGAGAGTTATTTTCAGGTTAGTCTCTCTCTCTCTCTTCTTTATAGACGTGCACATGTGAGACAACTACTCATTTATTTTATGATATACTTTCAGCTGAAAAGACAAGCTTCCTAATTTGCCAACTTATACAAGCACTGAGCAAGATGATGAAATGCAGTGTATAAGTCGTATACAATGTAAAATCTTATGGAATCAAAGGACATCTGCGAAAGGGACATGGAAGACTAGTTATAGCCTATAGGTGTTACTGAAATGACTCACCAGCATCATTGTCGTGTTATTCTCCCTCGTCCCAGAAGCATAAAAGGCTGAAATAAAAGAAAAGCCAAATCCTTGTTATGATAAATAATAAAAATTCGTTTGAGTAAAGATAGATTGCTGTCATTATAGCAAGATAGAACTGTATTTGGCTCTGGCATTGCAAGATAGGAATATGTTCTGGTAAAGTTATTCTATTACTCATACAACTTTATCAGATATTCATTGAAAAAGAAACCTAAAAAATGTTTCCTAAACAATGATTATGTCTGATAGAACCTGAAGGGTTTCAAACCAAACTGAATGTTTTAGGAAACAGAAAAATTTCAGGTAATGAACCGAGGTAAACATGAAAGATGTGAAATATTAACCATTAATTATCTGGAATAGATAATGGTTTCTGGAGTAAGGTACAAAATTTTAAATAAATAAATGGCATGCAATATTTATACATCTAAGAGAATAGAAGCCGACATTATGTACATTAGCATGATGTTTACAAAATTGTCAAATAGGAAAAGGAAAAAAAGGGCAGTCACACGAGAATGGGGTTTGAAAAATTAAATTGCGGGCAACATAGAATTCCATAGCTGCTGTGCTCAGAAACATTTCAATACAATTGAATTGTGTCTAAAGGGAATCGAAGAAGTAAGAAAATGCCACATACCTATATACGTTTGCTCTGGGAACTGAATCAAGGAATGGGTTCAATATCCTTGAAATACTCATGCTCAAGAGCACTTTTAGCGGTGATTCTTTTTCTGGGATCCAAGCACAGCATTTTCTGTAATAGTAACATAACATTGAACCCGCAATATGAACATCAATTTTCATATCCTGTTCTTTTTTGGAATAATACAAGTTTGAAGGTCAATGCTGCAGTAAATTATCCTACAGTCGATTCAATGATAGTTGAAAGTATTAAGCGTGTCAAAACAATTCGATTTTTCAGATCCAAAGGGTCAAAGAAGCCAAGTACTCTCGAGCTTTCCAGAAGAAGTTATAATCGTTAATTTGAATGAGAATGCGGTACAAATTTTTATTGCTGGTGCACATAAGGATATATTGTTAAGTAAACCACTGATAAATGTACATTATTTAAAAAAGTCAACTGCTTGGAAAGAACTTTCAAGGCATTGTTAACAGCCCCTTATCTGGTGAATATCCAATATAAATATGTGAGAATGCATGAGCTGAATGATGTTATTGTATTATCTAAACTCCGAATGATATCTGACAACAACAGAAGAATTCATTGCTATCATAATTGCATTTAGATGAGAATGTGGTATCTGAACTACTTTTCATGTTTTTATATTACATCCTCATACTGAAATGAACTTACACCAAGGAGGTCTAGACCAGCTGCATCGAGATTTGGAACCTCAGTTGCCAGGTCCTGCAGATGGAGAATTCACCGGTTTAAACTAGTACTCCTGGAAAAATCATTCAAGGAGATTAACGAATAAAAAATTGAACTCGATGTCATGGCCAACAACCTTAGGAGGCCATTTTGGAAAGGTAGTATTAAAATCAGACAGAGACGCAACTCCTGGCCATGTATCTTCATCAGGGGTTCCCAAAACTCTTCAGTACAGAAGGAAGAAATAATAAATGAATAAGAAATAATATAAGTCAAGTATTAAACAAATAAATTTTGCTGAAAGCTTCTGCGACTGTTTTAACTGTTTTTGAACAATTAACTATTTCAATTTAAGGAGTGGTGCATCCTTGGGGCAAGGGGGACATGCAAAGCAAAACTAATTAGCTAACCTAAATATTGTCGATGAGTGCATGTTACCTTATCATACAACAAAATAGGCAAAGTAGGGTCACCTTATGCAGACGAGAACAATTTTGAAAGCACTTCTATATACATTTCGTACTAAAAGCAACACCATGATTCCGAGTTAAAGCAATATTCCTAACAAGCTTATGAAGTAGCTAGAAATGATTTGAAAAGAAGATATATTTGGATCCTTGCTTGGAACAATTGCGGCACCTGAAAACCTTGAAGATTATATCAATCTCTGACATTCCAGGAAACAAGGGCTTGCGGTTCACCATCTCAGCAAATATACAACCGACTGACCAAACATCAACAGGAGTAGAATACTGCTGTGAGCCAAGTAGTAATTCTGGGGCCCTGTACCATGGAGTCATCGTCTGCAAAAGAATATCAATTGTTGGAAAGGAACAATGTAGGTATCAAGTGATAAGTTCCTTGGAGAGTTTTATTTCAGGGATCAACACTCCAGTATTATACAAAGTACAGGTACTTTGATAACTATTAGCTTTGGATCTATGACTAGAAGCATCCATTTAGAGCACTTGAAACTTGACGACAGATTAAGATAATTATACCCAGAGAATAAACAATACCGATACTCAAAAAGTGTTTCTTATTGATTTTCTCGCAGAATGAAATTAGAATCGATTTACAGAAAATGAATATAGAGATGAAGATGAGTTAAATTTTAACCCATGAATTACAGTATATGAAAGGTTGGAACGAGTACTAAATTTTACAACATTTACCTTGGGCGTAACTGTCCAGACAGGAATGTTGAATGCTCTGGCCAATCCAAAGTCTGCTAGCTTGACTGTATTAGTGCTACGATTAATCAGTAGGTTTTGAGGCTTCAAATCTCGATGAAGGATCCTGTGAGAATGACAATAAACAACGCCACGTAGTATTTGATGCAGAAACGTCTGCAAAATTTAAACATGACACAATCACGAGGCTGAGGGATTTCTTTTCATTGGAACTCCAGGAGGTAAATCAGCATTACCAACTGGATCTACTTTTCTCTAGATCCTTACTCACACATGCAAGATCCCGTAAAACATATCAATTACATCAGCAAATATGATGGTTAAAAGAAGAAAGTGAAAAGAGTTTTATAGTCAAATAAAAGAAGTAGTTCACTTCTAACTGAAACAATCAAAGAATTAAAAACTCAACTGACAAGTCTCTTCAAACAATGAATTTAATTTTGAAGTATCATTTCCACTTACCTCCAGTGCAAAGAAATAGGACACACACTCACTTTAACTAGACGAGGATCTGTTGAGAATTCTGGACGAGTCTCAATGTATTTCATCAGATCCAAGTCCAGGTATTCAAATACAAGATACAAACTCTTTCCCTCAGTATACACAACGTCCTGCAACCTATCACCAAATAAAGTAGGAAGTTTACTGCTACACATTATAAAATTTTTAAAGTAATTTATTTATGAATTAGGAAATAACATTTTCACAAGGACATATCTATCTAACAGTATCATACAAGTGTCCCAAATCTATTTTAACTGAATTAAAAGGCAGCAATATGTAAGAACCACACTAATTGAGAGTATCGTTGCACCTTACGATGTTTGCATGCTCCATCTCTTTCAAGATAGAAATCTCTCTGATTGATGTGCTAGGAAAACCTTGGTCTGGTCTCTGTAGCAGGACTTTCTTCAGAGCAACAATTTCATTGGTCTCTTTATCACGACCCTTGTACACTTTTCCATAAGATCCCTGGCCAATCTTCTCAAGTTTTTCATACTGTTTCCAGACCTTAACATCATTACAATCCCCTTCAAGCACAAATAAATGGACAATACCAAGACTAAAAGGCTGTAACTATTTACCTTGTCCATCTAATCCACACCAGTCAGCAGCAGAAAAATGATATGGTCAGTACATAACAGAAAATTATTGTAGATGTATCATTTGTAAGAAAAATAGACACAGTCAATGAACAACGAACATATATTTAGCATATTTCACCTTTATTTGTCAAATATTCACGTAAACACAGGAATTTGTTGACATTCTTTCTTTTTATTATTTAGAATTTAGAAGGCATCTAAATCATTCAAGAAGGGAAGAAAAAGAAAACAGCATTTGTATCTTTTGCAGAGTAATATCATGCATAGGTTCCATTTTCCAAGGAAGATGCCAAAATTTGACCACGGATTTCTCCTACAGTTCAAATCAGTGGTGAAATCCATAGCATTCGGTTTAGTTACGGGCTTATATCGAAATACTAGAAAATTTGCAACTCAATAAATGAAAGAACATAGTCCGACTCCGATTAAATTTTAAGTAGAAATATTCACTTTACGGAGCAAAAATGACGAGAAAACAGTATTATTAACTATGAAAAGCAGAGAATCAACAACATTTTTTCAACCATCAAAATTAGAAGGAAAAAAATAAAAATAAAACAAACACTGTATTATTATAACATAAACAATTCAGTACAAAACAGAAACAGTCAAACTACTGGAGATTAAATCTCGTGCAACTACGCATATATTAGCTCACAATTTAAAAAAACAAAAAAAAAAAAAAAAAAAAAAAAAG